TTTTCTTTGATTATATTTATTTCGACGTTCGAAAATAAATCACTCGATAGATCTCTAATCGAGTTGCATTAATTGATGCACGATTTATTCTATTATAAGAAAATTTTGATCGTACACCATGAATATATTTATATGAATTTTTGATATTGCAATAATGATCTTATTTTTGAGCAAAGTATAGTGAAAATAAGTTTTTTCTAGTGGTGCTATGTCAAAATATTCAGCTAGGTTTTTCATGTGAACAATTTCGTTTTTTCGATGCTGTTCATCCCAATTGTACAATAGAATACGATTCACTCATAATCCACATCCAAATATCTATCTCGTTTTGCCAGACATAGATTTCCTGACTTATGGATAAGAATGAAGCATTCAATTGAAAATTAAGAACGATCTGCTGTGGAACGCATCCCACGGATATCATTATAACACAATATAGGTCATACAACAAATAGTGTGAATGCTTGTGTCTTCTTTTTATCGACATCTACAATCACGCCTTCCATTGTGAAAAAATGTGTTCTACATTTAAAACTAATTTTAGTAATCTACGAATCGGTAATATGAAATACGATTAATTCCTGTTTGTGTTTTTTTATTGTACTCATGGTCTCTTTATTGAGATATTCATATTGAAGAGAATCTCAATTATTCATATGATGCAAATATTGAACAAACATCCTATGAATCTTATACAATGACATGTGGCCGCTAATGATAGACACTAAGATGAGTTCATTTATAATTTTTACAAACAAACTTTTATTTAGAATAATTTAATGTAATAATTGACTATGCACAACAAAATCAGTGATTAATCTATGATTAAAATACCAAACAAGTATAATTCATTTCTTCAAGTCTTTAAAATCATGATCCAATGTCGAGATTTATTCGATAGATTCTTCAATGTTTTACAATAATTAGCCGCTCTCGTTATCTATTGCTTCCTTTGAAATACTCAACAGTATGTATTAAGTAAACTTAACAATTGATATTTATGGCTTACTTAAGACGAGAACAACGACGAGTAGTATTGTCTTGGGCTTCAACACTTATAGGAGTGTCATCATTATCATCAGGATTCTATTAATTGAATAAAATCGAATTAGTTAAAAAAAACAAGAAGTATTGCTAAACAGTCCAGTACTACTTACTGGCATTGTATACGATTGTGTTTGTTTATTTTAAGAAGAGATTCCTAAAAAAAAACAACTCTGAAATAGTGTTTGAATCGAAAAATCAAATGCATTAGTCCGAACACAAAAAAAAACACAAAAAAATGAAACTGAGAAACTCGATTCACCTTTCCGTGTATATTGAAAAGACATAGCTATCTGATGATTTTATCACAAGATTTCAAGTTTCATCGATCATACAATGGACGAATAGACAAAACGAAAATGGACACATTTATTTTTAGTTTTAGCAGTATTTACAGACGACTTTCAAGTCTAATATTGAGCTTATTCAAATCATGAACAGTTATTCGATTGTGTCATGCAGATTTTTCTGACAACATTTATGTTTTATCTAAGTTTATGCTGATTAAGTTCTATGGGAAAAGTAAAATATTTTACATCAATAGATAAGGATTTCAATGCTTCATGTGTCTATGATATTTCTAACATTTTTACTTCACTTATTTGGAAAAAGAAGGAAATAATCAAGGTATAATAGAAATTTTAACAAAATTGCGGATAAAAATGAATCATGGATTTTTTCAATTATGAATGATCAAGTAGATTTTTATTGTTTCAGCTGAGCCCGAACAAGAAATTTCCATCTCGAAAACAAAGTCAGTAGTTAGAAGTTTTTTTTTTTGTATCAAATGAATCCAAAGGCGACTTTTAAAACTATCTGTTAGCGTCTAAAAACATTCAAAATAAAAACAGTCATTTGTATGTGCACCACTCATTTGTTATTATATTATTTGTTGTAGGCATGCACTACACTCAAATTCAAACATCCTCAAACAATTTGGATTTGATGAAAGTCTAACTTGATGGAAGCTGTTTATCGAGTTCAAGAAAATGTCATTCGAACTTCGGAAATTATATCTAATCTAGGACTAATGTCATAAATTATCATTTTAATAGTCTAATTGATGCGCCCTCATTTGTGTTAACTCGATTAAATTCTATTGATTTATTTTTCATTAAGTGATTGATTAGTGCGTATAAAACATGCAAAACATCATCATCGTAGAGTTTTCTTAATTTTAGAATCGATATTTGACTCATCATGACATTGTCTTTAGCTAATTTGTGATGTACACAATCGTCATAAAAATAAAGAATATTCCTCTTTGTCTAGTCGATAACCATATTCTCTTACCTGTTAGGAACCAAAAAAAAGAAAAAGTACTTCAGGTCTTGTGCTTATTATTATTCAGATATGTAACAAGTAATTATATACCTGACTATTTAATGAAATGTTGGAAGTTTCTACAAAAAATAATAACGCAAAAAAAAACGGAATATGCCAACTCGAGTCTCCCTAACGGAACCATATTTGTTACTACGAAAAGAATATCAAAATATCCAAGAATCTTATTTCGCTGTTTCATTGTATTCAACATGCGTGAGAAAGAAAAACAATCATATTGACATTGTGCGTCATCGATATCGGCAGCGCTTTTTTTCAGCGAAAAGAATTGATACCGATAATACGTTGGAGTAAACCCACAAAAATTGCCATGTCACTATGTTTTCGAATAAGGTTCCAAATATATCACTATTGTGTAAGTATGCATGACATTAGTTTGAGAAACACAAAAACGCAAAATTCGATACAATTCTTAACAGGTATGAAAATCAGTTTTGTCGTGTAAGATGATTAGTTTTAGGCTTTGAAACTATGTAAATGATCTGATGTAGTAGATCAGAAAAATAGAAGCACAAAAAAATCAGAGTATTTATAAAAGACGTGAACATCCACGAGCAATCATATCTTTTATCAATGAGTATTCCGACTCGAGTTAGGTACATACTCAAAATATTAGACTTTCATATACTAGTCTAAGAATATATCTTCTCAATTTTAAGCCTTATAATTGAATTTCCTATATTAGTCATTTCCCATAAGCCACAACCGGACCTATATCGTCTTTTTTTTTTTTGAAAACCGACAGTTAACCGCGGTTAATCAACGGTTTTGTTAAGCTGTTTTTACCCGGTATAATTTACGAAAAGTAGAATGAGGAAACAGCTAAAATAAGATTTTCTTTACTTTTTTGATTTTGAGTTGAAAAAAATAAAAATAAAAAAATGAGCCTTTTCTCTCTTCGACCAAGGTTAATGGAAAACGTATACATAAAGTGAAAGTTTATTCTTTATCATAGAGAAGATTTATCGGATTTCTTTCGATAAATACATAGCCTTTACAGTTAAAATAGATAGCATTCAGCACGTAAAATTCAGCTGACACTATTTTTTTTTATTTAGATTTGATCCAACAACTAATCCAACTGTAAGGATGGGCTGATAAAATTAAGCGTATTTAACCATAAACTTAATTAGAGGTGCTCCAAATCCTGAGTATCTGTATAAATATTGTAGATTTTCCGTAAGAAAAGAACTTTATTTTCAAACAAAACAATAATGCACACATGAGACCGCATTTGACCGAATTTCGCTTCAAAACAGGCACAATCACATAAAATTCTTCTCTGATTTATTTCAACTGAAAATCATAAAACATGATCCTATGATATTCTGATGAGTTTCAGAAAATTAGATGCATATCTCAATGGATTATTACAAATGAAAGTAGAAAACAATGTCGGTTTTAACAAGACAAATAAATATTTGAAGTATTGTTTGTATTCAAATACATAAAAAAACGTCTTGAATTCATAAAGTGACTGTCACGTACAAGAATTGATCGTATGTTTTTTTTTCAATAGTATCATTATCAAGAAATTCAGAACGATTTTGTCGAGCATGCCATCGAAACATTCTTCTATACTGAAATTTATTTCAAACCATGAATCAATCGAATGATCATCGACATTGATACTAACATTAGTTATTTCTTATTTTTCTTCATTTGACAAGACAAGGTTGGTCATTGTCGTCAGAAGATATAGACTTTCGGACATATTTGTTCTGAAGAAATTCGCGTTACTCATACTGACTTCGGTAAAAGCGAGCCGTTCGCTTCGATCGGAATAAAAATAGGCAAGCTGTACCATGATTAACTCATGTCATAGCTCTATCACGACTTCATTTGAAGCTATAGTTCTCAAACTTTCAGTGCAGATAAAGGTTTTCAGTACGAAGACTATATCTTAATTATTTCAAAGTAAATTCTTATTATTTCTTGGACTGGAGATAGCTACAACATTAGGCTTTCGAATGATCGATCGAACAAAAATAAAGATGCCAAAATAGCGGAGATATTATGATCACAAATGCAGATATCATTTATCTCATAATTTTAGTGTATCTCAACCGGTGGATGTCAGGTTGATGCTTGCGATCAGGATTCACGATGATCGACATGCACCCAAAATCTCAGTCCAAGTTCATGAGACATACTATCCCTCCAGGGAGTAGGAAGTAATGCCTAGAACTGTGAATAAAATATTATACAGGAGAGACGAAGGAAGGTACATCGATAGAACGGAAAATAAGAAAAAAAAACGTTAGAGAATAGAAGAAGAAAATAATCGAGAGCGAGACGAATATTCATATTGTTTACAAAGAATATACCGATGGTATAGAGACACGTTTATTCTTCATATGAGTGTGTCGTATTTATTGGCACACGAGTAGCGTCATTAGGCAATAGAGGCAAATGACAACCAATAGAACACAAAAAAATCAACATAAAGATCAAGATGATTCAAAAATCAGGTGTTCGTACAAGCTAATACATCTAGTCCATTATTAAATTATTGCACTTAAACCATGTGAATATGAGCGAAGAGGAGAACGAGCCATAACATGTGCACATACATAATCAACAAACATAGAAAAAAAAACGTCCTCATACCAATGTCTTCTGTTTTCAAAGCAGCAGCTGTTCATGCAGCGCCAGTATTTATGAACAAAGTAGCAACGACTGAAAGAGTAATTGAATATATAAAAGATGCAAAGAAAGCATCGGTTGAACTCCTCGTCTACCCCGAAACATTTATTCCCGGTTATCCATATTTCATTGAATGTTATCCAACCTTGATACAACCACCTGTACTTGCTGAATACATCGAACAATCTGTTGAAATTGATGGACCAGAAATCAGTAAAATTCAAGCGGTTTGTCGCGATTATGGTGTGTGCATTATACTGGGCGTTTCTGAGCGAATGTCAGGTACTCATACGTGTTTTAATTCTCAAATCTTCATTGAATCTGACGGAACACTACTTGGAGTTCATCGAAAACTTCAACCGACCTATGTTGAAAGAATCATTTGGGCTAATGGAGGTGGTTATACATTGCGGTGCTATCCATCGAAATGTGGAATTCTTGGCGGATTAGCATGCTGGGAAAACACAATGAACGGTGCACGACAGGCACTCATTCAACAGGGTGAACAGATTCATGCAGGTGCATGGCCTGCTTTGAGCACTATGGCTGGATTTGAAGCTGTAGCCGATATTCAGGTAGTGTCATAATGTCTCTAGTGAGAGTATCTCAAGAAAATACTCTACAAAACAAGTGAACTTGCGAGTTTATTTGAAAAATTTTTGAACGATGACAATCAAAAATTGGAAATTATTCTTTTTTTCATAATGAATTTTTGAATGTTATCCATGGTACTTGACAAGAATTTTTCCTTTTGTTCAAATGCGAAAAGAGTAAAAGCACGAATATTTGTGAGACAGTTTGAGAAAGAAAAACAATCAAGGATAATAATTCGAGAAATTCAGACAAGATATCGCTGGAACAATAACACCCTCTTTGTCCTTTAATATGAAGTTCAAGAAAAGAGAATTCTCATCGAGCTTTGGTCAAAAAAAAACAATGTGAGGTTATAACTGTGAGATGAAATTGCAAACTCCAATCGTCTTTTGACTCTCAAGCAATTCACATTTATTCATTTTTAGTTAGACATCTGTCATTTTATTTTTTCCTCAAAATGGGTATTTTAAGATGAATGTTTTCGAATTCATACAATCTATGTAGTTTGTATTTAGATCGATGCCATGATGAAGAATCACGCACTGACTGGTCAATGTTGGGTGATCTGCGCATCTAACACAATTGATCAGTACTGTCTTGACTGGATGGAAGCCAAATTAGGCAAACAAGAACTGGTTAAAGTCGGAGGAGGATTGAGTAGTATCATTCATCCTTTTAATATGTACCTCGCTGGACCTCATAAAGGTTTGGAGCAGAAACTTGTCATTGGCGAGATCGACCTCAGTCAACTTGGTATCGTCAAAGTTTGGATAGATTCAGCCGGACATTATAGTCGGCCTGAAGTTCTGCAGAATAATGTCAATCGGGCTCAAATCTGGCCCGACGAGAAAAATATCGCATGTCCAATGAAGAAAGCTTCTTCTTCGGATGGGAAATCTTCCAGCATATCTGAAGAAGTTGATTCTAGTGCAAACGAACACAAGAAAGAATAAGAAGACAACCTCTCTAATTTATTTTCACTTGTAAAATGTTTTACATGAATAAACTGGATGATTAACATTGTGTGTGAAATAGAATAGATCTATGTTGAATATCTACTAATACACACATGTTTTCAAACAGGTAGAACTGTGGAAGAGCAGGCAACAATTTATTCTGTAAACTAAAATGATTGAAAATTTTCTTGTATCGAATTAATTTTAAACAACAGTTCTTATTTTACCTTGACAGGATAATAAGGTTTCTAGAAATGAGTTCTGATTCTATCAAAGATTCCTTATTGTAAAAGCGTGTTTGTTTTTTGTTGATACTATTTTTGAACAAAAGAAAATTCTACTCTAGAAGTTTGTCGAGTTGATTCTTTGTCAGTTATTTGCAGCTATGTTGGTTAAACGACGCCATATTCTTATGGAAATAGAGAAATTCATGAACGGTGTGTTCCTCCAATTGTTTGAGGGTTAGAGTTCGACAAAAAGATCTAATCGAATGCATCTACCTGCATGGATAGAGGACGATTCCTGATAGGATCTTTATCGGACGTTTGCCGATCGAGACGATCAATAATTAAGACTCAACTTACACTGAAGAAAAAAAACAGGTACATCACGAAACTTATAAAGCTTCGTTGATCTTAACTATATCTTTGAGATTTCGTATAGAAAGCCTTTCTAGGTTTCACAGCAAGAAATGTTTTGACCATTTATAAAGTGACTCATTGGTGCCTATTTTTAGTCATTATTTTTATTGAATGATTCGGATACTGAATTCCAGAATCAATAGACAAGTTAAAATGCTATTATGGTTATAAATCTGATAGCGTTTTAATAAGACTTTAGCTTATATCTAAATCATCCTTCACTTGTTTGATTTAACTCGCTGATAACTAGCTAGACTTAGAGACACTTTATGCATATATACTATAGTAGTCAACAAAGTTGAGTTTTGTCTAACATCTACGTCATCTCATAGGCATGTTAGAGAACTTGCAGACTAATTTCACTTTTTCAGTGTCTTTTCCCGATTCGTATCGTTCAGACAGTTGACAATCGTTTTTTCCAAATGTTTCACCCTTCTTCGATTCATTTCTAGGGATTGCTCGTGCACAACATGAGAAGTAATTTCTGAAGGTGCAGAAATCGGCTTCTACAAATCACTAAGTTCGTACTATGTAGATTTGTTTTCTGCTTTATGTAGTTTGAATTTGAAACAAATTTCTAACAGAAAATCGTATTCTTCTCACGACTTTCATTTTTTTTCCCCATATTTGCAATTAGAGTGACTCAAGAGTAATCACGTTTGGTCTATTATGATAGTTGCCATTTTTTTCGACTACGAATTAACCTTCATAAGTGGACCCGAAAAAAGTGACATATCAGATTTTGTAGAGTGAACTTTACTCTACAAAACCTCATTTGTCAACGTTTCTTACATTTTTCTGAGCCATACTTCTCGATGTTTTGTTCTTCATGATGAAAAAAAAGCAATCGAAATACGTTTTTCTACCTAGTTTTTCACGCTTAATACAGTGACAATATAACAAAAAACGATTCCTTTTGATCTGTTTAAGCAAAAACAAAACCATGTCACAACTCGACGAAATTGCAAAAAAATTTAGTTTTTGAATTTTCAATGATTTTCCCCGCAATCTTATGAGTCTGTGATCTCTCATTGAGGAATATGTCGAATATTATTCAGATAAGAAAATACAAACTAGGAAGCATGAGACCATCAAAAAGGGACAATCAATAAAGGCCATGCAGATAATAAATAAGGGGTGTATGTTGCGTCAAAACTGGATGAGTTTAGACAGAAGTATGGGAAGAAGGAACAAACATTTCTGAATGTCTAGACATTTACTAAAAGTATTTTTCTTTTTTTCACATAACTTTCAGCGAGATTTTGAAAAGCATTTTTAAATAGGAAATAAACTGAATAAATCACTTGAACATGAATATCGTATTGAAATAATTGAAGTTTATACTGTTGCATGGGCAATTAATTACTTTATCGAGCAGTAATATGAATGCTGCTAGATTTTTGAATGTTATTTGTATTGAACTTCATTTTTTCTTTTTACTATTTTCTGCTGATTAAAATATTATGTATTTAAAAAAACAATTATGCCGTGTAGTATATTTTTGTTTATTGTTTATGAAATGTGTGATTTATATTTTTTATATTCATTTCTATTTTTCATATATATATTTATTTGATGAATTGTTATTTTTTACAAAGGAAGCGATACATTTGAACAAGCGGGCTATTTTTAAAAAGTTATTTTTTTATAATCAGAGTTTAGAAGGAGGAAGAGAATTGATGAAACTGGTTAAATCCGACTCTAATAAACAATCTATGTCTGTCGCCAGACTTCTATATCATTATGCATGTGATTATTGCCTAGTGGTACGAAATCATAATCAGTGTTGTAGTTTTATATGACAAATGAATGTGTGATTATTTCGGATGTGAATCACTGAATCAATATGGCCACGCTTGAAATCGATGATTCAATTTGTTTGGATAGATTCATTTGGTAACCATAATGCTTCCTGTTAACAAGACAGTTGAGAAAAACGATTGATGCTTTCATCATTGACAGTGTGGAAATTTCGAGTTTAAGGAGAAGCGACGAGCTTTCATAGAAAGAAGACGTTGTAATAATTTCTAGTCTAAAATGAACTTAATAAAACATTTCTAATTTGGCTGCATTCCATCATTAGAAATTCGTTTATGCACTTGATTCTGATCACGTTTGCATAATTAATTTATTGTATTTGTCAGTTTTCTCCTAACATCTCGAAGTTGTCGTATCAAAAATCTTCGATGTGTCAGGAGTTTATTGTGTTGTGAAGTATTCACAGAAGTATTTCTTAGATATCCTTCATGTCGAGCCAATCGATTTTTTAGCCTATGTAGTGTTGTCCTTAATTCAGTCAAGTTAAGATTTGTTTGTTCCATGTTTTGTGTCTTTTCGGGTTTCACTTGGGTTGAAAAGTAACCGTCATGTATTGGCTTCGTTCGAAAATCTTTCTTCAATGGCCTGGCTACATCATCGACTTGTGTATCGTATCGAGAATCGAGTACTTTTGGTTTGCCATCAGGCTGAAATTTTGTTTTGTATGATTTGGCATTAATTGCATAGACTGAGGCGTTGGCTGGATCGTTATTCGAAAGATTAAGCATATTTAGTTGTCGTGTCAAAGGCATTAAAGATGGACACCGAGTCGTTTTGGGTTGCGCTCGACATCCGAAGCATTGAAGGATAGACATCATTCTCTCTATATCGATTTTTGATATTTTGTAAGTTTGCAACCATTACTGCTCTTTGAATTTATACGGTAAGTCTGTCTTTAGGAAACTGCCAAATATTTTTATGGAAATTTCATCAACTCCTTGAAGTTTTATCTATTGGGTAAAAGAACAGAAGAAGTGAATTATACCTTGCACATTGATTCATCTTTCGAATTCTTTGAAATAATGACGCTCTGAAACGATATATTACCTTTGATGTTGCATTTATTGCGCAAGTCAATGAATTTTTATAGGGTTTTTTCTTATAGTGGTGGTTGACTAATTAAATCCATAAATGCGATAGTCACGTTTTTTTTCCTTCATTTCAAGAGGAAGAAAGAAAAAAAGAAAGCTTTGCTGCTTAGAAAAATACAATTCTGCTGATGTGAATGTGAGCGTCGATATGAATGGAAGTGTGGATGGAAAGACGGTGGTAGAGATGCACGAATACAAATACAATTTGTACTCAGGAAAGATTACCACTTCCCATGTACTGTCATGTACTGGGTGTGGATGTTGGTACATGACAACACATGAGAGTACATGATAGTACGAGTTCTGAAAATTAAAGCTTTCCCCAGCACTGAAGAATGTATTGCAGTGCATTAGAATACATGAGAGTGTATGAGAGTACCTGACGTTACAAATCCTCAAATTCTAAGTTTGGGGGGAGGGGGTCATATTCTTTCCAGAGTACAATTTGTACTTGTATTCGCGCAGCTCTCTCGGTGGATGACACAGGGCCATGCAAATTTTTGTTGCACATTCTTGTTCGATATATCAAACTTTTGTTATCGTCTTCAGCCATAACAACAATTAATTGCAATCATGAATCGCCATTCATAAGTTTACTTGCTTCGTTATTTCTTAGCTTTGTGACTGTTGATCGATCGGTTTTATAGTACAGGTATACACATAGCAGATTGTTTCTTGACATTTTCAAAGTATCAACTATATTATATGAAATAGTCGTATGAAATCAGTAACAACATATACTTTTATCTTGTTGTTATGAAATCTTTTTATATTTGTTTTTTTGCCACATGCTGCTAGATAAGATAGAAACAAAGTATTTTGGCTGCATCTTCGGGATGCATATAATAGAATTCGTAGTGCAAGTATGACATGACTTAGACGAATTACAACATACACATATCTTTCTTTCTCTTTTTGACTGGATATAACTTATTTTCTTGGTTCTACAGTTTTTCTACCGAAAAAAGTGTGTCACTCAATTGATTGTATGAAAACAATTATTATTCATTTGATATATTTCATGAATGTTATGTAACATAAAATCACTATGGTTGAACACAATAGATCCATTTGTTATGCTTTGGTAAAGGTAACACTCGTACTCTTTTTATTTTACAAAGTATTGAAACATAGTAAATAAACGCGTTTTTTTCTGCTACGCATATTTTCTCTTGTTACTTTTTCAAAGAAAGGACAATGTATTAGTGCAATGTATATTTGAGTCAAAACTTTTATTTACTCAGAAAAAAATTGAACAAGCATTCGGTGGATGATGCTTTTTTTGTTGACAATTAATATTTGACATTTTTTCAACTTTCTTAAATCGTAAAATAATCCTATATTCAAAATGAAATGATTCTGATTCAATTCGAGTTAACAGTAGTATCGTAATGTTGTCGATGCGCTTCAGTGCGGGAATACGAACAACGATATTAATGAAAATTGTTGTTAATAAAGAAATTTTTAACGTCTGATCGGTACATTCTAACAGAATTTCTATACGAGACGAAATCATTTGATCGTTGATTCATTAAGCAATTATGAAAGTGCATCTTCGCACTCTTCTCTTTGATTTTCTCCATCTTTTTTTTTTAAAGTATTGCAATACTCAAACAATCTATGATCAATCTAAGCCTATATTTGACTCAAATTCGTACTCTGAATTGAAGTCAATCGTTAATTTCATTCAACTTCAAAATATGAGATCATTAACTTTCTCTGTTAGTCACATCATCAATAGTAAATTTGCTTATTATTTTTTTCTATATATCTCCTTTCAAATCAGAATGCATCATTGTCTTTTGCATGTTTTAGTATTGTTGAACGAGAACCAACATAAAATGAATACCAAATGATCCTACAAACATAATCAAATTTCTCGTCGTACTTAGTTAACTTACTATACATGTTTTCGTTCTTTTTTTCTCCAACAAAATACATATGTGTCTATTCTTAGACAAGACGAATGAAATTTTTTAAAATTATCTTCAGATCAATTTTTTTTCTGATCATTTTCAAGAAGATGAATCGACGCGTTCTATGCGATAGTCTAATCCAATGGGTATGTGAATTTATACTATTCAATAGAATGAAATTAATATACTTTCATATGAATTTTTACTGTTATTCATTACAGATGAAAACATTCGATTTGAATCGACCGATCAATGGAGCCGATGATCTATCTGATGGTGTTATTATTGCAATGTCACTCAAAAATATGTCAGTAATCGATCAATTCAATTCATTTTTATTTCTATTAATTATTGATTTGGTAGAGATGCCAATCATTTCAATGATACATGGCTACAAAAGATCACTATTAATGAAAAAGATAATTATCGAATTAAGGTAGATTCCGTTCTAATGAAATAATCAAAACCAATAAGTAAACTGATTTAGGCAAACAATTTGAAGGAAATATTGAAATATATCACCATCTACTATTTCAAGGTGAATTTCAACTTATTCTCACAAATCTGTGCAGAATAATATCTGTTCTTTTAGATACTCGGTCAGCCAATAGTAAACTTTCAAATGCCCGATGTGTATATGATCGGTAATATTCTCAAAGAAATCGATAAGGATTCAAAAATCCTTGATTTTTTTTCTCTATAGCTGAAAGTGCAAATGAAGTAGAACTCAGTCGACTATTACAACTTGTTCTGGGTTGTGCTGTCAATTGTGAACGAAAACGATGTTATATAGAACATATTAGATCCATGGAAGAATCTGTCCAACATATACTCATGAATGCTATTCAAGAGGTTTGTACGTGCCATTGTTGATCTTGAACATATGCTTTGATATTCTTTCTATGCAATAGCTAATGAATCAAGAGTATCAAATGATCAAGGAGAGACATCCGGAAATTGAAGATCAAGTAGATGATCGAATGTAACGAACTCAAGCATTATTCTTGTATATAATTTTTAGTTGAAACACGTTTTGGAAGAACTCAATCATACAATCAAAGTCAAAGATGAAATCGAAAATCATTGTCATGAACTGGATCGACAGGTTTGATATCTGACCATGTATCGATTATTACTATGTCATATTCAGATTGCTGTACTTCAAAATGATAATTTGGATTTAATACAAGAAGTAGCATGTCTAAATGAACGTATTCAACAATATGAAAGAGCCAAAAATGCTGAGTACGATGATGCTAAAAAAAAATGATCGGACGTCAATGTCAATAGTTTTTTCTTGTATTTCAGAGAGGCATCATATATTTGTTTCAATAATTTACAACAACAACGTATTCAATCACAACAAGATGAAATATCTGAACTCGAAATAAGTACATTCGATCGTTTCAAGGTAGTTTTTTTTTTCTTTTTATTGTTTCTTTCTCTCATAGCTCTACAAGACTATCGAGCGAAATTAGACATTTTACATGATGAAAATAAAGAACTTTTCAAAAAAGTAGATTCATAACGAATAATTCGATTCGAAACACTATATAGCGGATTGTCACTTCTAGAATGACGATCTCACTGTTCTGGTGACTTATGCGCGCAATATCAAAAACGAAAATGATATTCTGAAGAGCAAATGTGAGAAAATGGTATGTGATTCTAACACTCGAATGGTACAGTAGTTAGTGCATTAATCATTATAGACTCAACTAGAATCGACTATTGATGCATACAAGACAAGATTAGAGGATATGATTGATTTACAAAAACAAGCGAAATATCTTGAAGAAACCAATTTCCGTCTAATGGATGAAAAATCAAATCTCGAACATGAATATAAACAGACAAAATTATTACAAACTCAAATTGAATTTCATAAAAAAATCAATCAGACATTGAATCAGAAAATTAGTGAAATACAAATTACGGTTGATAATATCGTACTCGAACGAAGACATGCAGCAGAACTTCTCGATCTAGTTACTGCAGAGAAAGAGGTTTTTAGATGCATGAATAAAAGAAAATATGAGAATGAATTACTAAAATAATTTTGTTTAGAGTCTAATGAATGAAATTAAATTGTTGCGAAAAGCAAATAAAAACTTACGTATTATTAGTTTTGATGATGGTAATATTAAATGTAGTAACGATTGTATAGATGATCGATCGATTCATTTAGATGTTGTTCAAACAAATTCACAAGATCAATTTACTGTATCACTTGAAGATCTCAAAAATTTGAATTCACCTGCCGATGTCAGGTTAATTCAGAGAAAACCGTATGAATTTGTTATACTCGAACGAACCAAAAGAAAACTTGATTGTTTTAGGAAACATCTTATTCATTCACTACAGGAAGAAAATCATAGCGAACAGATCTTACTACTTGAAGCCGATTATCAACAACTCAAAGATCAAAATAATCAATTAACCAATGATTTATGGTAGACAAATTGTTTCATCTTAGTACGATTATACATGTTTTTCTTTTCGTTGACCTTCAGGATGGCAAATCAAAAAATTCTCGAATTGAATGCAACACTCAAAGATACAACGACACTTGTGGATAACAGTACTGAAGTGGCCGATTTGAAAAAATCGCTCAATTATGCTATGTCTCAGTATGAACAGGAATCTATTCGAATGCAAAGTCAAATAAATGAATTAAAACAAAAATTAGAAATGATCGGTTCGCTATTGAGGAGACTATTAATTTCTTCTATCAATTTATTTTCTTGATTTTTATAGAACAACAACTGACAGAAAAGGATGCATTGCTAATGAAGAAAGCTGAAGAAATCGATGCTTTAGAAAAATATTATCTTCAATATTTAGAAAAGGCTAAGATGATCATACGTCAAATGGATCCACATAGTAGTCATTCTTTTATCAATCGCAAGGTACAATCATTACAACAACAACTTGATGAAAAAAACCGACGTTTATGCGAACTTGAAGTGAGTTTATACTTTAGATTTTCTTTCAAGCAATTATTCTTTTCTTTTTTTTCTTTGGCTTCTTATTTAGAAAAAAAATATGAGAAAATACAAATTGCCCGTGATGATCGAAGGAAATGACTGATTAATAAATATGTTCTATTCATTAGTTCGCACGAGCCACTTTCGAATGAATAAAACACAAGACAAAGTATTTCGCTTGTTTTAAAATAGCATTTTTTCAGTGTCACGATTTCGATGAACATTTGATATCGTGCAAGAAAGAATGATTTCTAACAAAACAACATGGAATTACATTGACACACAAACAAATTCCTTCTAGGATGTAGATCTGCATCTGGATGTTATCGAAGAGAAGACTTAGCAAAAACTCAACTTTGAGCGAATGTAGAAATGTGAACAGTAGAAATGTCAAAAAAAACTTTATAAGAATAAAGAGTAAAATTATCAAAGTAAGACTGTTTTGAAAAGTATTGAATAAAAATATAATTATTACACGATCAATATCACCTAATGAGTATGTATACGGATGCAGATATATGATTGAAGAGAAAACATCCACGCGTCTATGCACACGAATACTGTATTTAAATGATCTTTTAATGCATCAAAACAGAAAAGCAAACTAGCAATATCATTCAAAGTCAAATAAGAATGCTGTATAACTGTTATAATAATTATTTCATTTCATTATCTAATTTCTTCAATGATTTATTTTTAATTGTAGCAAAAATAAAAGTTGTGATTTTCCAATAAGAACATTATTTAAGATTGATAAACTAATATTTCAAAGGTTTTTAGCTTATCTTTCATCCTTTCTTTTTTTTAATAATAAACGCTTTATTGGAAAATAACGGTTTGATTTTTTTAAATTTTCTAAACGAGAAAATATTCAGAAGTCCTTGCCTCATTTTTACTTTCGACTAAAGTTTAAATAATCGAAGACTCATTCCACATCGTTGACTCTGTTTTTTTAAAAAGTAAGAAAAGTTAGTTAAATTTTTATTCATCATACTACTTAGAAAAGTTATTCGAATTTCTTAAACAAATAATACATATCACCACATGTACATATTATTGTCAATTAATTTCATTTCTTTCCGAAATGATCGATTGATGACGATGGTGTTCTTTAAAGAAAACTTGACTGCATGTTTGATATTGACCCGGCTCTTTTCGTATTTAGAGCAGAAAAATCATAAAAAGAGCTCAAATGAAAAATGATTGACCGATTTTAGTAGACTTATTTGTTCTTGTTTAAATGAGACATGTGTACAGTTCGTGCAAGTTGGAAATTTTCAATGATGCAATTTTTCCTATTAATTCAAACTACTAATTGTGCAGCTACACTAACTGCTGTCATTTAGACGAAAAGGTGAGATGCAATCAAATCATTATAATGAACATGTTCACCAGACTGTGACGGTAGTTTGACACGTGTACTGTTTATACAAGTTAGAAATTTCCAACCAAAACAGTCTCTGTTGATGAAAATCACGCTGATAGACTTTATCAATTATCGATGACTGTTCTTTTATTCATGTAACTTTTAACCAAACTTCTAAAATAGATTTCGCATATCCAGTATGCTAAAGGAAACTCACAAAATCACGACTCTTTTCCAACTTAGCAAAATTTCTAACTGTGATTTAATATCATTACTCCACAGTTCTACGTCTGAAAAATTCTTAGTCAAAAATATCAAAGCTTTCACGCAATTCGATGAGAAGGTATATACAACGCATTCTCAACCCTCCTATCTACATCCACACATTTTGTGCTACCAACTCTGAGTTAATTGACGTAGACGAGATTGATGTCTTGTTGAAAATATTCTTTACTGATTTTTGTACATTCTTTAATCCTATTACCAACAGCTGGTTCAATGGGATCGTTAGGTAGTTTATCGAGTACACGAGAAATAAATGTTGATTTACCACTATCTGGGGAGGAGGAGGGAAGAAGCAATGAGAGCAATTAGTACAGATTGTTCGCTCCACTAGTCATTGATTTCCTTTTTCTTCTTTTTCAACACGGCTTCCACACTACCTTCACGCAAAGTTGTTGGTATGATTATTGCGTTTGGATTGCTCACTTCCATTACCCACACCATCACTTCACATTCATCCACACTCACACCCACACCCACCTTCATGTTTCCTTTTTCAACAATCTATACAGCAAACACTCGTCATAGTCTTGTTCTCATTGTGGCTGCTAAATAGTACACTTCTCAGTTACAGATTTCGTGATTGATCAATCACCATGAAGACGAACAATCATTGAGGAACTTATAAAAATAAAATTGACAATACTCTATATTAGCCACTCAGAACTATGATCAATTTTATGATACAAATCGATATGGAAATAACTCTACTATTTAGTCAATATGCACTCTATCGTATTTCGTTTATTGTATGAGAACAAAGGTTTTTTAAAAGTCTTGTTAGCGCTGCTTCCTTGGGACTGAAATATGGAATTTACATGTCTTCTTTTATTTCATTATACTAATACAAAATATGCAAAATGTAAAATGTCTAAAAGACGATAGTTCCTTTTCAACGATAATCAATTGTCAGCAAATATTCTGTCTTTATTATTTCTCTATTTAGGATTGTAATTTTGTTGCTTGACTTTTTTTGACTGGCGCTCTTGTCTTTCATTTGCCTTGTTGCTATTTGTTTCATATTTATTATTATTAGCCTTGCCATTAATTTAGTGGGACAATAAGCCTGTTGTACACATTCATTATTTCTACAACAGATGTTCACTATCTATTATGTATCTCAATGAACTCAGACAGACTGATATTGATTATCTTCAAAAGTTAGAACTTAATGAGTTCATACTTTCGTGTCAATATCATATGATAGTTGCGGGAAATCAAAACATTATCCTTGATATCTATCATACAATGGTTTATCTGCATAAAACTCAGAAACTGTGTTATTTAGAGTGTTGAAAATCATATTCCAGTCATTTTAATTTCTAGGAAGTCTCTGAAATGTTCTAATTAGAACCTTCTCAGTATTGATATTAATGTCATTCAGCGCCTTCTTTTTCGTTGCTAAGAAATTATTGTAAATCATTCTGATGTTTGTTGTTCTCGATTGCTATAGAAGCGTCTTCAATGACATTTAATCCCAGTTACTAAGGTCTGTAATGGAGAGGGAGGGATTAGGAGCCTCAAAACTTTGACTTAAAACTTACAATTATTATTTTCTTCGAAAATAATTATATATGAATTCCACAAAACAAAGAAAGCTGTTTACAGTTTTAGTTCGACATGAGTATCGAAAAGAAGTGAATAGCAAAGAGAAACACATGTAAGTTTACAAAAAAGTTCAGTTCTTTCCCTTTAATGCTTTTTTGTTTTTTTTCTGTCGTCGTATGTCATCAGAATCTGTTTTATCGTCGGAAATCGACTGTTGACTTGTTTGTCGTATTCGTCTGGGTCCACCGAACCATTGAGCAAACAGAGCGGCAATATCGGGTATATTCATATTTGGTTGCATAATATCATTTGTTCCTGGAAACATCTGTCGCATCTCTGTTTCTTGTGGGAGAAATTTGGGTACAAAAAGAAATAAAACCGTTAGTAAGATTATTGGAGCAAACGTTGGGTTGAAAATAATATCAGTCCAACGGTAGACTTCACGTGTTTTAAAATAATTCGGCTTGACATATGCATTGAAACGAAGCGGATATTTTACTACAACAACTTCATTTGGTTGAACAAAGTTAACTTTACGTGCACGAATTTTTCCATTAGTATTTATATCAACACGTACTGGCTCGAAAACGTGTCGTGGTGAACTAATCGAAACAACATATGAACCACTCGGTATACCTAACAAACAAGAAGAGTAAATCGAAGAAGTTATATTTTCTCGTATGAGAAAACCTACCAGATATGACAAAAGTTCCATCAACTCGAGGGATACCTATATATTCACCTTCATTAACCAGTATACGCATATCGTCAAGAGCTTTATCATTAGGTTGGAAAAGAATTTGTCCTTCAATTTTATGTGAACCAATGTTCTCACTGGGACTTGTCGATAGCGCAGCAATGATTTCACGGTACGTAATAAACATAATTAATATCGAATAAAATCGACACCATACGATTGTATTTAACATTTTCAAGGCACAAATCGAAAAGAAAAAAAGATTGAAACTATTTATCTAAAAGGTACTATTTACATAAAATTTATTTTATGAGAGCCAATCTTTTAATGAGAATAGTTTTGTAAATACGATTCTTTCTTTTTCAAATCATTACGATGAATGACGCAATTAGCTATTGTTGTTCCATAGAAAGTCGATTATCAGAATTCTCATGTCAATAAATTCACAAAATAATGTCTATCTTACGAGCAGAGCTGCCACCTCTTCTGCTTTTTTTGATACGGCGTTATTTATCATTTCAATCAACATTTTTCACTTGAAATACCTTCGTTTCCATAATTATTAAAAAAAAACTGTATTAAAAACTACTAATATTTTTGTACCATTCTAATTCTTTCTGTTTGATACAGATGATTTTTATTTTCTACTGACCACAAACAACTATCAATCTGCATATTTGGCTTTAAATCAATTCTTTACCTATGACTTTCTATAGCATTTTAATTACTCATGTAATTCATATACATCAACATATATATATTCTTTCGTTTGTTTACTCAATGAACATGAATAATTAATATGATCAGTGAGAGGAAAAAAGATAGAAAAAACACCTCTAGATGTTAATGGCAGCTCGACTAGCAAAGAAGATATTCACAAAGCAATGGGAGTTGCTGAAATAATAATTATGTCATCAGGAGCTAAACCATAAAACAGAAATTGAATAGAGTTATCTTCAACAGAGAACGGTTCAAAGTCGTCGAATATTAATAATCTTTAAAAAAATATAAATTTGATCCGTCTCAACTAACATTTATCGTTCGTCATCAACAATTTTCCGAACATTGTTAATAAAAAGCTAATATTGCTTATCCTATGAACAATAAGAAACAAAAAAATTTTAAATGCTATGATTTAATCAATAATTATTTTGAATTTCTCCTTATCATATTCTGTAATGGATAAATATCTATTAGGTAAAAAAGATTT